CTCTTGTGGGGCTGTTGCAAAGCTTTCGACGCTGCGTTTAGCATCTAGTCAAACCAGACCTGACGTCTCACCCGCTCCGGGACCTACTACCATTTTCTTGCAGCCGACAGAAAGATCTGGACCGTTGTTTGGTGCTGGGATTCGACCAGGCAAGGTCAGGTCTTCTATCAGCCCGAAGGGTAAGACTGGAGCTCGTGCGATGAGTCTGCAGAAAGGCTGTTAGCAAGGAGCGCGCTGAAAAACGAGAAAGCTCCAGATGCTGTTTGGCGAAGAAGCTGCAGGAAATGGCTAATGTCTTGGCAGGCAAGCGGGCAGGGCAAGGGGCAAGCACAGAGGTTCACTCCGGCAATGCTCGGCAGCAGCACAGGCCAGCTCGGCTTGCTGCGCATGAATGCCAAGCTGGAAAGACGGTTCGACTGTTGGATGCTGCCCACCTCTGGCAATTGGCCGATGGGCACCAGTCCCCGCACGCCTGGGCAATCTTTGATTGGAGGTGATGGAAGATGGAGAGACAAGTCCTACTGATTCCGACCCACTGAGACGCGACCGCGTTGGAGAGCCAGTGGCACTCTGCGCACGATCGTTGTCATTCGACGTCATTCGAGGGTCGTCATTGCCAATGGACTTCTGGGCTTTTGGACCCACACGGGTTGTCCGTTGTCTGACGGTGTCTTGGGCGGCTTGGAGCGACGGTCCTCTGTTGCTTTTAGCAAGATTGCTGAGAGCGAGCTTCTTTTTCCCACGCTGAACGGCTTCTGCTAACGAAGTGCGCACGCTGCAGCTGGGACGTAAGCTTCTCTTCCTCCATCTCGTTTCACCATTGTATTCGTGTGTTTGTTTTCGTTTTTGATGTTCATTGGGACCGAGCGCTGCAGCTGCAGCCGCCGAGGCCTGCTGATGCAAAAAAAAACTTCCCCACAGAGAGATGATTCGGAAGTTCCTTGCGAGAAGTTGTGCAGAAATTTCAGTGGAGCAGATGGAGGGCAACATAAGATGGTACAATCCTCAATAGTGGATTGTAAATCATCAAGAGTCACCCTGAGCTGAGAGTCGCTTCGACAGACTCGAGTTTCCGGACCAGGTCAAGCTTTCAGTGGAGCTCGGAGCTTTGTCTGCCCTGGAACCTTTTGACAGCAATTTTGCTTTCCACCGCTGTGCGCACCTTGCTTGCCACAGTAGGTGCAGGTCTGAGGCGACTACAGTTGCTTGGATGCGTCTTTAACATCCAGATTGAAATTCTGTTGCAGGTTGCTCTTTTCGAAGATTGCCAGGAATTGTGCAGGGCTGGAGACCTGCAGCACAGTTTGTATTTCTGCTGGTAAGGCGGCAAGTGTCACGTGCGACCGCCAAATTTTATTCAAATGGAGTGGAAAGACGTCTAGTGTACCGCGTGCCGCACTTGAGCGAGTGACAGCAGTTTGAAACAAACATTCCAGCGTTCAAAACGAAAAGCAGACATGGGGTATGACCGTGGCAAAAAAGTGGACGAGATTTGTTTTGTGTTTTTGGTCAATGGCAGTGCCATTTGTTTGGCCAGCATTTCCGGTATCCGCACACCAACATTCCAAATTTGAAAACTGACTGGTCTCCCACGGTTCCCAAGTTATGTAGCACCATTGGAAATTGCTTGCGGGGAAAAGTATGACGCTGAATTGGGAATGGTTAGTAGTTTTCGTCGATACCATGGTCGTAGACGAACTTATGCGGCAGTACGCGGCACATGCATGAATTTTGCACTCCATGTGGTCAGTTTTAACATGAGTGAACTTTGGCAGTGCAGAACTCGTGGTGTGCAATGTCTTGTTAGAATCTGCTTTCGGCATGTAGCAGCGGGGATCACAAAATCATGTAGGTGAGTCTGGGTGTGCCAATGCCACTGCGTGCAACGTCGCTTGGAAGCATTGTTCGTTCAAGCACACAGCTTTCAACAATTTGTGTCGTGTGCCGAGGTGTGAGGCAAATGGCATCGCCTTCGTCTTCCGGGAAATATGTGGCGCGGCAATTGTCAGCTTTTATGTATTTCAGATCAAACGTCATGTAAGCGCCAGCTGCAGAGTTCAAGAGTCGTTGAGGACACGGTCATCAAGTCTGGATTGAAGCTGAAAGGTGGCGACAAAAGCAGGCCAAGTGAAGATATTCAGAACGTTGTTTAATTATTTTTGACATACCATTCAGGGAAGTCGGCGTAAAAGCTGCAAAAAAGACGGGAGCTTACTGCAAGTTTGCACCCGGGAGGCTGCATGAAATGTTCATATGCGGCGTAAACTGTCATTCTTAGACATGCTCCAGACCGAGGAAGAAGAAGTCTCAAGAAGACATTTTGACTGAGCAACTCCAGGCATTGGTAGCAAGTATCCGTGTTGCTTTGCGTTGCACATGTGCATCGGAGTTACTCGGAGTATGTTGCCGTGTGTTTGGATAAGCATGGGTAAGGCGAGCGCCGAGCAAGAGCTGCAGGCTGCGGGGCGATGGCACTGCATTATGTGCGCGCGTGTTGCTTGGTGCTAGCAGATGCGATTGCAACACCCCATGTTCACATGACTCATGTTTTGTCGGCTATTTCGATGCACAGCAGTAGATTCTGCTGCTGTGCATCTGTTGTCGGAACATTGGTGCCTGCAAGTGGCTCAACATTGTGACACATCGTGTTGAATGTTTGCAAGCGTGAGTCTTTCCTTAGCTGCTGCAGGAACAGTCTGAGCTGGCGAAAGGAGCAACTCAAGGGCCCACCACGGCACAAAAGACGTTTCAATTGGCCAGGCACGGGCCTAAGCATTGACGTAAGTTAGGGTTAGACGACGCCACAAAGCTGTCGCATACTGTTTTTGCAGCGCCCGCTGTGACCAGGGAGACGCGGACAAATCAGCGTGTCAACGAGGCTGCGGAAGTTGCCACGTAAGCACACATGTTCACAAGTCGTGGCTGATGGCATTTGACGCACGGGGCTGGCGACACCTGATATCATCGTCGATCCTGGATTCAGTCATAGCTCAGGCAAGGAAACTCTTGAGTTGAGTTTGAAGCACCACTTGCAAGTGAAGCGCAAACCAACTGGCAGGCGATTCAGTACACGTGACTTGGCCAAACTAAATCGCTACGTATGATCGTCCTAATGTCGGAATGCGTGGTGAAGGCATCGACAACGCATGGACAAGCTGAACGCACATTTAGGCAGCTTGTCGGAGCATTTCGACATTCCGAAGGCTCCGAGTGTGTTCTGGGTATGCTTGGTTTCATGGGAAAGCATGGCGTTAGTCCCGTGCCTCGCGCTTCACAGGTCGGTCCTGGATGAGCTTGCCACGTGCTTTTGTGTTCTGCTTGTGCCCTCGACGCGAAGTCATCACTGGCTTGCGACTCAGCGCGAGCAGAAAAGGTATATTAGGCATATGCCATGATGCGCATAAGGCTCTGACATAGTGACATAGTATTGATGTCAGCTACCGGCCCATGTCGAATCAGCTATACAGATCTCAGCGATGCCTGCAGTGCTAGAACGTGCTTGTAAGCCATTGCTACGTGCGAGAAACGGTCGTCAGGACAGGAGCTTCAGTAGTGCCCAAAAAGATGATGAATGATTGGCAGAAGCGAGCAGATCTGTGTCACTTGAGCCGCGGGTTCGAGCTGTGGGTGGGTAGATTCTAAGATCAGATTTATTCATTCAGGCTCGGCACGATAAGCTCAGTGGAACAGGACATGTCCCAAGCACAGCCCAGGTCGGAAGTCTTGCCGGTTCGTTTCCGAAATGTTTTGAGTTCACAGTGAACAAACTGAACGCATGCTGCCCTCCGTTCGATCCTCTTCGGATGAGCCTACGCCTGCCACTTAGTTCCTGCAGCTCGAGGTTCTTGCCATGTATGTTTGTGCCATGCACGTGTCCCATTGGTAGGGCATGTGTGCCCTGCATGTAGCAAACGGGAAGCACAGCACACACCCAGCAGAGGAGTTCAAACTCAGTGCACATGCAAGACGAAAACAAGCTATAGTCGCCAGGGGGGTAGTTCTGACATCGTCCCTGGTGCTCTCCAGGCTGCATCCATGTTCGTGTGTATCATATAGAGTGCATCACCGCGAGGTATGGTGTAGCTTCTTCGTACTTTACTTTCAGTGTACATGCAAGTTCTGTGCATCATCGGTTTTGCATCATTTCTTTGTTTGGTGCTTCCAAAGCAGTTGAAGTTCTCGTTACCATTCCGAAAGTCGTGAGCATTGGCGTGCCTCTCCCCACCGAAGGGTTTTTTAAATGTTGCTGACAATTTCAGCACGCCTTGACGTGCTTGCATTTGGTGTTGTGCACACCTACACCCAAGGCCCGTCAAGTTTCAGAAGGCGTATGCGGTTTCGTGTTTACATGATTGGACCACAAATATATGCTGACACATAGGTCTTGCTGTCTTTGTCATCATGGTGGACTCGTCCTACACGAACAGAGCTTGATCCAGCCAAGTATGGACAACAGTTGCCAAGACAAGGTCTAGCTCGTCACGCCTGCATGCCAGCTGTTTCCCATCGAATATGTCGGCGGCTAAAACTCAATTACAGGCAAGGCAAGGCCATAAAAATCAAAGAATCAAAGGAAATAGGCAGTCAGCAAGCAAGCAAATATGATAATAAGATCAAAGAGAAGCAGGTGTGTGCGTTCGTGTGTCTTTGTGTGTGTCTTGTGGTACTTGCCTGGTTAATGGGCATTGGGAGCCATTCCGTTCGTTCAGACGATGCAGAGAGACATGGGAAGATGCACGGCTTGTTCTTGCCCCCATTAACTATGTGGAAGACTTGTCATCTCACTCACCTCCAATATCACTTTCGTGCAGAGTCATTCCTTCCATGCTGGCGTCTCAGCGCATTCCTTGTGCCTGGCGTACTTGGCACCACGAAATTGTCATCCAATCCTCGTTACCATCGCCATCATCAATTTTTGCGTTGTGTTTGTTGCAGATCACGTCTTTCTGTATCGTTGCGAGGGTGACTGATTGAGTGAGTGAGTGAGTGGCTCTCTGTGAATGCATGCTTCAGGTTGGCACCTTCAGGAAAAATGGTGGCTCGTCATCAGCTTTGATTTGCTGCATCGCGAAAGAGCAGCTGACACTAGATTTGACCTGGGAGCCCACGCGCAATGGTTGTATTTCGGAGTTGGCATAGCTTTCCCTTTCGGGCATTGGTTTATTCGGTTTGCGGATCCGTGCAGTCTATAGTATTGTACTCCAACCAGCCCCAAACGCTTGTTATCTGCAGGTTGTGCTTCCTGGTGAGTCTGATTACAATGCTGTCACCACGCCAGGCACCAAGCACTTTGTGCAAGCTTGGGTCAACAAGTTTGGCTGTGAAAGCTTGTGTGGAAACGGTCTGTTGATTTGGTTGATTTGGATACGTGTTGTGACCCGGAGCAACCAGCAATTGACCAAGGCCGATGCCTTTGCAGGCTCATGTCAACAAGGTTGGTCAGCACTTGGAGCGAGCGCCCTTAAACACAAAGGGGTGTGCAGTGTGCTGGGTTGGTCTTGCCAAAGATGTAGAACTGCCCCAGATATGAGAAGCGAGTTTCTTCCTTACCCGAAGGACAGCCTTCGAATTGACATGGAGATAAAGTTTCCGAAGAAGGACGGGGTGCAGAGTTCATTTTGATGCAGTGGCAGCTTCTTTCTTTGGTGCAGGAAGAAGCTATGTAGTTGACACCTTGACAATGCCAGAACTGCGCAGGAGAAGAAAGCACAGAAGAAGCTGGAGAACAGGTTCTCGGGAATTCAGATTTCACCAGATGTTGCCAATGTACTTGTGAGATGGGAGATCAGCATGTTTGATTGCCATAGGTTGCGAACGTACCGCAGCAGCAGCACTCAGTAGCTCCAAGAGCTAGATCTAGCTGCCAACATCCAGGCGACATGACAGATGGCATGGACAAGCATAGGTTGTGCTTGCAGCTTTTCCAGCTGTCACTTGCTGTTTTGGTTCGTGAGACTCTTGCTTTGCAGTGCCCCGATCCTGTTTTACCATCACGATGAACATGTTTTCAGCCTTGGCAGCAGCTGGCCCTGCAACATGAAGGACATCTTTCACCGGGTCCATGCTGAGTAGCGTTTTCTCAGAGCAGAAGTATCCAGAGTTCGGCTCTCATGGTGACCACCGCCTTGATATGGTTTCGAAGCTCTTGCTATTCAAGATCTTGGATCTGAGGCCTGTGTACTTCCAAAGCGTTGACTGTGCCGGCCTGTCATGATTAGTGCTGCTGAACCTGGTTCATGTCAGAGTTCTCATGCAATGCTTGAAGTTCTTGTGTCTGCAGGTCGGAATTCCCAATTTCCTTTCACACCAGGAGTCGGGGTCTTATGCTTGCTGCTGTGGCACTGTGCTGGTACTGTGCAGCTTTTTTGCATGGCCAATCTGATTAGCATGGTGCGGTGCAAAGGGCCTACGGGGCCTACACTTTCAAAGTGGCATTCGGAATTCTCGTGGTATGGTCACATACCCGTTTGCCTTAAGGTGCACCAAGATCATCGACTTTGCTGAAATGCAGGGGTTCAGCCTCCAGAACAGACACCGAGCGAAGTCCTGAGAACTGCATCCCGCAGAATACGTGAGCATGTAGAGAATCCTCCTTTTGCTCGCTGTTGGCTCAGGTGTTGAATATGATGTGGACGGACTTGATCGACCCATTCCTTGCAGAAGCCCTTTGGGAGCTCGGTGCCCTAATCACTAAGTGACTTCAGGGGTGAAGACTGGTTCGGTGTTTGGGCTACTGCAGTCGTATGTAATAGTACAGACTATGCTGCGTGTGGTGTTTTCCGGAATCTTCTGCATCGACAATCGAGACAGATACAAACGATTCCTAGGATCTACAAGCAAGTGATGCAACCATGTGAAGGATTGTCGGAAACGCCGGTTCTGGAGCATTGCTTGTACAGTCATGTTGAGATTCTCCCAGGGTCTGCGGCCTCAGCTGGTTCCTGCGAAACCTGAGCATCGACGGGCAGGCACGAACTGGTTGTTGCCGCTGTGGAATCCGCGTTGCTGCTGGCACAAGCATCCGCTAATGCTACTTTTGCTGCTATTGCTACTATTGCTTCTATTGCTTCTATGGCTACTACTGCTACTATTGCTACTCTTGCTACTCTTGCTACTATTGCTACTATTGCTGCTGTTGCTACTATTGCTACTGTTGCTACTATTGCTACCATTGCTGCTGTTGCTACTATTGCTACTATTGCTACTATTGCAGCTACTTGTACTGCTGCTACTGCTACCGCTACTGCTACCGCTCCAATCTACTGCAATTATTATTATTATTATTATTGCTGCTGCTGCTGCTGCTGCTACTGGTACTGGTACTGCCACGGCTACTGCGACTGCCACTGCCACTGCGACTGCTCCTGCTGCTGCTGCTGCTACTGCCACTGCTACTGCTACTGCCACTGCCACTGCTTTTACTACGATGACTGCGACCACCAGTACCACTACATAGCACCAGGGCGAGTTACCTGGACCAGCACCAGTACCACCGCTACGATCTGCTACCACCACCGCTACGTCTACCTCTACCTCCACCACGACCACGACCACGACTGCCACCGCCTCTGCCACCCTTGCCACCACTATCATCAGGACCAGTGCCACCAGGCGTGTTTGCCTTGGGGTTTGGTGGGCTAGGCCCAGGCACACATGTAACCCTCGTTGATCACTGCAGCCTTGCATGTCCTGTGCTTGCAGCTTATTTGCCAGGTGGCGCGTGTGTGTTCAGGTGCATCCACTGCTTCAGGTCAAGCTGCTGAAATTTTGCCCGCCCGCCCGCCCCCATGGGTGGCATTGAGCATATATTCTCCTGGTGATATCCAGTATGGTGTGCGCCCATCGGCGTTTGTTCCCCGCGAAGGGGGTTCGGATCTCTTGGGTCTGGACGGCCCTGCTGTGTACATGTCTGCTGCCAAAACCCCTGCCCACATGTCTGCATGAGCAGTTGAGGGTTCTACCACCACTACCAAAAGAAACATGCTACTACAAAGGCCGCCTCGCATGCCCCAGAACGTTTGGGACCTTGAGCTGCCATCTACTCTGGGAGTGGCGCATCCCCGCTTTGATGATATGGAATCTCCGGCGGAAGCCGAACTCCTTGTTCAGATCGAGGTGGTCCTGGACTCTTCTTTTGCAGTGGATGCTGAGTGGGAGCTGGTGGTAGCATCACCTGCTTCGTTGTCCACTCCGTCATCTGCTACGGCCTCCTGTGCCGTGTATACTTGGGCTATCTCACTCACTCCAGCCAGCTGGGGTGACATTTGGAATATTGAGGCTGGACCTGCTGTTTATCCACTATGCCTGAACTTTTGGGATAAACCGCCTGCGCCTGCGGGCGATTCGTGATCTTTTGAGCAGCTGGCGTAGTTGATGTGCTGAACACCTCCGCTGAACTTCCGATGGGGCCGCAGGGCCTGTTCAGCGCACTTTTTCAACAGAAGCGTATGTGGGGGGAGGAGCATACGGCATACGGACTAAAACGTAAGAAGATTCGCTGGCTGACTGCTCTGGTCCCGAAGCAGTATTACAGCGTCTGCACATGGCTGCGAAACGTGATGCACTACGTGCATAACGATCATGCAAATGAGGCTGGCGCGACGAATCTCTTGATACAATGCAAGTGTTGGCTGCCAGCCATGACGGTTCAGTGCACCTGGATGCTCGTACTTGGCCTGGGTGTTTTCACACTGTACACTTGTCGTACGTTACTCTTGAGCCGCATGTTGCACATGCCACGTTTCCCTGGAGCAGATGCGAACGTATCCTGGTTGTGGCTCATCATGCAAAGGGCTTGGACAAACTCACACACGAGACTTGCCTTGGGCCGGTTTCAACCTTGTGAAGAGGTCACGGCAAATGCCGTGAAAGTCTGGGTGGATGGGGTAGTTGTGTCTCCCCGCTCTGCGGGGAGAGACACCATTGTGCTTCGCATGAGCCTTCTGATTTTCTCTGCATTTGACTGATCATGGGCCGTCGCCATCTCTGTTCGCAGACAACAGGTTCGGACGTACAGGTGATCAGTCATTCTGCCTTTTACAATCTTTGTGAGGTGCGTGCTATCCATGCTCCCGAGCTGCCATGCTGATGGGCCTTTGGGTCGGCGGCAGTTTTCCCGTGCATACCAGGGTGCCAAGGTGTATGTGTTGTCGTATGACGGCCGGGGCGAATGTCGTCCTGACATACCGTATGCAGGCTTGGACTCCATAGTTGCGAGCAAAACGAAGCGAAAGTACCAGTACTACCACAACAGTACCACAACCATGTCGACGAGGACGACCACTATTGCTGATGCTACTGATGCTGCTGGTCCTGCTGCTCATGCTGCTCCCCTCCGCTCATGCGAATGTTCGGAACTGGGTCGTTGACATTGACACAAACTTTACGGAAATTGAAGCAGCTTACGACGCAACTGAGGACTGTGAACGTCAACAACCGAGCAGCACCCAAAAAGCCAAGAAGCTTGATCCTCTAGATGAAGGGTTTTTTGGAGTGCACCCCACTGCTTTAAAGCTGCATACTAGACATGTGTGCACTCACGGGAACATTATGTCTTGTGGCTTGGGCACTGACAGGCTCAAGGTCACAGCGCCAATTTTTTTTCTAGGGGCGCGGGAGCCTGCATCTGGCTCCTTCGGCGTCACCTCCCTTTCCGTCTCTCAAAGTGTCCCCACATGCCTGGAATGCAGTGTCCACAAAGAAGACTGATTCTTCACTTCGCTTCGTGCAAACCCATCTGTTTTCGGACATGCAGTGTCTCAAGGGTTTGGCCGTTGTTCATGAAATACCTAGCTCATGAAAGTTTTCATGCTCTTGTTCCCGTTCACGGGCTTGAACTTGTTTCTACCTGCCCGTGATGCCCTTACAGATCCAACAAGTTGAGCGAATCCGTGCCTTTTGAGCTAGCTCGGTAATCAGATCTAGTGCTTGGTTGTGATGTTCTTGATGTTCATTCTGCACTCAAGGCTTGTGATTTGCAGGAATGAAAACGTCTTGGCATTTTGCAGCACTTGGTAGGCTTGTCCGTGGCTTTTTCACACTATCACCTACATGGTTCACATGACGGGGATACCGGCAAATTTAGAGTTTTGAACACTTCGGGTGCCTGACTGTGAGGTGCCATGTGGTGCGGATCTCGAAGATGTTTTTTGCAAAACCTTCGTGGTGTTCTTTGTGGACGTTACGATGTGCAGGCGTGGTGCGGCAGCACGACTGACCTGTCATGACCCAGGCTTGAACGATGTCATCAGGATCCAAAAGTATGGCCCTGTGTCGTCCTCAAGCAAAGTTCAGCAAGCATGGAGAGAGCGTTGTTCCCACTGCGAGATAGGCATTTTTAGTGTCACAACATTCATTCATGCCTTCATTCATCCATCCATCCCTCCATCCATCCGTCCGTCCATTTATTCCTTCATGGCTTCCTTTCCTTCCGTGCATTCTGTTCATTCCAGTCATTCCGTTCCAATCGTTTCAGTCGTTCCAATATTTCCATACATGGCATTCACGCCTCCCCCCGCTAATTTTCGCTCATCCCATTATTCATTCTGTGCATTTGCCTTATTCCAACAGCTTCATTCATACGCTTCAGACCGTTCACTCCATTCGTTCCTTCATTCGTTCAGTCCAGTCATTCCTTCTTGCATTCGTTTAATTGAACGATTGAAGGAATGATTGAGTGATTGAATGATTGATGAATGATGGAATGATTGAATGATGGAATGGTTGAATGATGGAAGGATTGAATGAATGATTGATCGATTGATTCATTGATTGATCGGTTGAGTGATCGATTGGTTGGTTGGATCGTTGGTTGGTTGACTGATTGAGTGATTAACTCATGCAGTCATCATTCATTCATCCATGCATCCATCCATCCATCTTTCCATCCTTTCATGTATGCACGCATTCATTCATTCATGCATTCACTCATTCACTAACTTACTCATTCACTCATTCATTCATCTTCATTCATCTTCATTCATCTTCATTCATCTTCATTCATCTTCATTCATCTTCATTCATTCGTTCATTCGTTCGCCCATTCATTTATTCGCTCATTCACTCATTAACTTATTCACTCATTCATTGATTCGTTCCTTCACTCATTGACTCAATTTCTCATTCCCTCCTTCTGTCCTTCCTTCCTTCCTTCCTTCCTTCCTTCATGCATTGATTGGCTAATTCATTCACTCGTTGTTCACTTTCTGTTCCACTCATGAGGTTCATCCATGTTTCATTGACGTTTCATGTCCTTTTTGACTTTGTAGTTCCTTCCTGGCATGCTGGATGTCTTCAGCAATGTCTCAGCATCCCCTTTTCATCAATGTTGTTGACCCTCGATCTTTTTGTCTTGTGCGAACCCTTCAATATAGTCTGGGCATGTCTTGATTGATTGCTGAGGGTGGTTTATTTGGCCGACACACGGACCAACCTGTCAAGCGAGCAGATGGGAGGTGAGCCTTGTTTTTTGCCGCGCAGTTCCAGCAACACCGGAATGTGTCGAAAGGACTTCGAAGTACTCATTGCGAGTCTTCCTGAATAGCAGCGCTGGCAAGGAGTTTGAGGCTCGCACCCTCGCACTGGGACCCATAGGGACAGCGGCTTCAGATTCATGTAGCCGCCGTCAGCTGTGATTTCGCGTTGGTTGACAGAGCGGATCAGTCAATCTTTCGCGCCGTTTACCTTTTGTACGGCTCACACTCTCTAAGTGAAAAGAAAATTAGGAAGCATGGATCGAGCGACAAGATTTGCCCACCGTCAGTAGAAATGCATTCACAGAATGGCACTTTGCTGCCAGGGTGGGCTCAGTGCCTTCCATGTCGCATTCCGGCCGAAGCCCGTGGTCTTCGAGCCTGAGGAGCCCGTTTCAATTGAGCCTAAGCCTTGTCCTGTCATTTCACCAGCATCGGATGATCCGTCTGGAATCCGTCGCTGGAGCTCTCGGATCCTTCTGACACACTTGAGCAAGACGTGCAGGAAGGGCTGGCTCTTATCTATCCTCAGGGAGAGCCGTCGGCTGAGAACAAGCTTAGTATTCATTGGCAAAAAATTTGCTCGGAAGACTAAACGATCAACTTGTCCGTAACATGAACCAGCAAAAAAGTTCGAATTTGCTGCAAGTAGGGCAGCACATCCTGCAGAGGAAGCCGTTGACAAACTGCCGATTATGGCAAAAACTTGAGTGTCCTTTGTCGTGAGGTACTGCCAGGTACAAGAGGAAATGGAGGTCCACAACGGAAAGAAGTGACCTTGTGGTCTTTGCAAAATCGGTGGTACTTCATTCCGCCAGTGTCAGATGCTGGCGTCACCAGCATGCGCCCTTTCAATTTGGGCATTTCCAGGCTTGGTATGATGAAGCTGCGCAACAGGACTGTTGACTTTTGCTCACGTCGCCGTGTGTGATCTCGTCATAGACGTCTTCTGGTGCAGTGATTGTCATGCACCAACAGAGAGTTCAGGCAACTGCGAACTGTTTCCCGCTCCAAAGCCGTTGACTGAATGACCAAAATTCTTAGAAGGCACCTTTGAAGCCATGACGTGCTTCGAACGCAGGTACGTTCTGCGGGCAGACATTCTATTCTGCAGGCAGCTTGCTGAAATTCTGGAGCTGCTGTGTTGTGTGCATGATGATGCCAAAGACAGCGAAACAGGCACGAAGAAATACAAGTGTTTTGGTGACCTGTAAGCTTTACCTCCTCGGACCGGCGATAGACAAAATGATTGATTGCATGTGAACACTCTTCATGAGTGGCTGCACCTCGGACACTTAGCAGAGCTCTTGGTCTGTTTTCTCTATTATACTCGTGGAGGCTTCGAAAGATGTTAGGTGGTTGTGAGGAGAGTTCGAAGACTGAACGAGACTGCTCAAGCCACAGCGGTAGGCTGGTCATGATCTTTCTCGCATCTTTAATTGTGGCTTGCTCGCAACTGGTCTCCCAGGCAAGAAGATCTTGTCTCGCGCCATTTGCCGTTTCACCACCCGTCACCTTCTTGCGGCTAATGGATTGGAGCTTGCACAAATGTACAATCCCTCAAACGCATGCAGATGGCAGAGATTGGCATGTGGCTATTTCCATGGTCGCACTTCGCGAGGTAGTAAGTTTCACTCAGACGAGGCCCTGAAATATGCAGGGCTTCCAAGAGAATGCGTGAAACCTGCGTAGCAAAAGCGAGCACACCGAACGAAGCGCGGCAATGCATGACACTTGTTGAGCATAGGCGGAGGCTGTTGTGGGCACATTTCATGTCAGAGTGACAACTTCTTTCAGCGCGGCTTCTACAAAAATGCTATCTCAAAGTCGACAGTTCAGGATTTTTGTGAAGATTGGCTCGGTAAAGAAGTGGAATGTTTGTAGCAGCTGCACCACGCCTTACTCTTGGATCTGTTCTCCGATGGAAAGTGTGCCCGCAAATTCGCGGACTCCGCTGCTGTCACATGGCTGGCATGTGGCAGCACCGCCACCATCGCCCACCCGTGATGCACAAAGAGGCCGAAGCTGGATTGCGTGGCTGCAGTGTGACTGCCTACAGTTGCATAGAGTGGTCTTAGGGGTTTCGGGATCACCAGGGTGAGGCCAGGTCATTGCAGGGGTTAGGTTCAGGCTCGGTGCATACAATCATAATCTTTTCGTGATGAATCAATGCTCTTTTTGGTTTGGGTTTCAGGGTTTTATTCTTGTTACTTCAGTATTTTTTTGGGGGTCGTCGCGGCATTTGGGCTTGGGCTTGGGGTTTTGTGGCTTGGTGATTTTTGTTTTTCTCATCTTGTGGTGTGGGTTGTGTTGAAAGATTGGGCTTGGAAACACGCTTGATTCTAATCGCTATCGGTTTTGGGCGTCGGTTGGGTCCGGGGGTTGAGGTATCTTGGTCTTCTTTGGGATTTGTTGGTTTTTGGTTGGGTATGAGCTTGGAGTTGACAGGTTTGCTCTTTGCGTCTGGTTTCAATACATCAGCCTCAGGTTGGGTCACTTGGCTTGGAAGGAGTTAGGTGGTTTCTTTTTTTTGCAATTCTTCCTTGGTGTTTCTGAGACTTTGTGTTGGGCTTCAATGTTTGATTATGTTAACTGAAAGAAGTTTTATGACTATGTACTGATTGAATTTCGTTCACGTCTGACACATTTTTCCAATGCAGCCAAATCTGGGCCAGGTCCGGCGGCGCAATTGCTTTTGGCATGCTTCGATCCTGGCTCATTCGAAGCGTATGCCAGACTTAGAATGAGCCAGGATTTGCCAGGAACAACTCAAAAAATCACACCCCGGACTTGACCCGGAATGATGTTTTGCATCATTCAGGTGACGCACACGTGTGCCAGGGTTGGAGAGCAAAAGTGAGCATGTCAAGATCGTGCAACAAGTTTTCGTTGGAACTCGCAGCTACTCGCAGCTTCGAACTTGAGCGAGATTTCGCGGTCGCAGCATGTCTTCTTCGCAGTGCCAGTCATGTTGAGAGCCCCGTCTCGCAACATTTGTGGATTCCCAACAGTTTCGGTTGTTTGAAGGGTTCTGTGCATTGCGGAGATTTTCCCGAACATGAATTGTTCGTCCGCAGGCTCACTCACCTTCTTCACTTCGTGCCGCGCTGCTGCGTTTACCTGGTTTGCGCCTGGTTGGCAATCGCAGCAAAGGGTGCAAATGCAGTGTCTGGTCGGCATTGATCTCCATGAGAGATAGCTGAGGTTGGCATAAGCACCCTGCAGCACGGTTTGCGGAGGCGCTGATTCCTATCCTCTTCCATAGTGTGCACCGCCCACCACAGTTTTGACTCTCGACCTTTCATGTAGGCGAACTCGAAGAGCAGCGGGTACCTGATCTTGGTGCCAGAGTTCCGGTTTGGCTGATGCATGGAATCTGTGTGTAGGAATCGTTCCCATACACAACATGCCCCTGCATTGCTGCATGCCTGCCAAATGTTGTTTGACATATTGCAGCTTGCTGCATTGCTGCTAAGTTTGCACTTGCAGTCGTATTGTAAGGCACTGAGTGGAAGCAAAAGCACTTGGCCGGGCGCTTACAGATGACCTTTATGATCGCCAGTAGCAAGTGCAGACCAGGCTATGGAGCTCTCTGGGCTGCCGAGCCATCCGTCGAAGAATGTCAAGTTGGAGCAGCAACTTGGACAAAGGCTCGGAATGCCTGACGCCCAAAGCACAATCCCCGTGACATAGCGGTCGTAGTAGCATCCATCCTCCGGCCTTGAGCGAAGCTGGATTCCCTGGCTGCGCGGCAGCTTTCAGGCGGTGCCGCGCTTGGATTGCGTTTGCTCCGTTCTGCTCCGATCCGACCGCCTCCGCAGGATTCTGCAGGTGCAGGCTGCAGCTTCCGTAAGTCCTCCCCGGCATCAGAAGGAAACGTCTGATTTCTGCAAAGTGCAACACAATGGCACACTTCCGGCTGCCTTCCACAAGCACGTTGCAAAAGAACGTGCTCTCTACTCTCAATCCTCTGGCCTTGTCCATTGACGGATTGGTTCTAAGAGGCCAGCATGCTTACACCTGACGTTGCGTTACCACATTGAGCAAAAGCTTAAGGTATGCGACTGATGGAGATATCGCCGCCTTATGGCTGTTGGGGATCAACGCCCAGGATGGAGACTCGTTTAGTCGGTTGTGATATGTGGGTGGTGTAGACGTGCATAAGCGCAGGACAGGCTGGCACAAGAGCAAGCGGATACTGAATTGCTTCTTCCAGGATCCATTTGCCAACATGGACAAGGCTCGTCGCTAATGATAATGAAACCTTCTTTTTGAGACTCCAGTTTGTCTTGCTGGAGGGGCATCGCCCTGATTCGCACAGTCATCCTGACCAAATCAGCAAGTTTTCGTCGCTAGATCCTCGGGAGAAGGTTTGCGAGGATGGTCCGAATCAGGGACTCGTGCTGTTGCAAGTGCTACCACTATTCCCTGAGGGCGTAGTGGATCTTGGTGCTGGAAATGGCATACTGGGCATTGGGGCGCTGCTTCTCGGTGCCCCACGCGCTGTCTTCGTTGAGGCACGGGGTTGCGCAGGTTTGGTCATTCTAATTTGATCGGATCAGGTGGATCCTGCAGCAGCTGACGCAATTGAAGAAGGACTCGAGGTCCGGCATCCCAGCATTCCAATCTGAAGTTGATGATGCATTGCGGTAGGTACGGAGTGGTCTTTGCTTAGCTAGCAGATTCTGCTATTGCCTTTGTAAGCGGTGGAGACAATGACATTTTCAGCGTTGCTTTCCAGGACTGAGCGAATAAAGCTGCTTGTTCACTGCATGAGCTGGGAAACCCGCTTAGCCAAATCGTTTGATCTGTGATGTCTCAGCCGGACGTGTCCCTGGTCCCTCATGTCAGGCACAGAGCCTGTCAGCCCGCTCTCGTGTATTGTGCTGCGATGTGGAGGAGGTGAGGAGGGATGGTGAGACGCTGCTAGGTTGAGCTATAAAACGCCTTCATGCCTTGTTTGATTTGCTGCCAGCGCTTGAAAGGTGGTGGATGATCCAGACTGTGTTGGTGACCTTGTTCTTATGAACCCGCCTTGGGGACAGCAGAGAAAGTCTGCAGACAGAGCTTTCCTGCAGGCAAAGCTGGGCACATGTGATACGCATGTGCCGCCGGACGGGGACAATAGTCGGAGAGAGTTTGTGCAGGCCTCCATTGCATTGGCGAAGACTTCGGTGCACCTGATGCACAGCTGGCGCCTCAGAGTCTCAGCCACTTGAGACGGCGATCGACTCTGAGGTCCTCAGAGTCGACTAGCTTTTCCTGCGCCGTGAGGTGCTGGTGCTGTGCATGTGGAGCCGTGGGCGCGAGACCATGGCTGGAAAGCTGTCAAGTGGCCGGAAACCCAGCAACTGTTGCATTGCTGACCTGCAATTCAGGGAGGTAGGCATGCCGTCTTATCTGATCCTATCACTGTCCTATCCGGATGTTTAGGAGAATGTTGGTGTGATATTGCTTTCTTTCAGCACCAGCACCATTGCCTTAATCGACAGGGTGTTGTCTGGCATGTTTGGACTCCACTTATTGCCCATGAGTTGTCGCTTGAACTGCTACATGTCCTGTCATGTGTCCGCAGACAGTGCGAGGCTTGATGTGGAGTTTCCACTACCAAGAAGATATGCGCATCAAACTCAGCGCAGAGGCACCGCTGCAACATTTCAGGATTCGATTGCACCCTAGTAGCATCATCCAGCGTAGTTGCAGAGTACCTTGTAGATCGCATCGAAAAAAGCAACATAGGGTATTCATGGCATGTGTTTCTCAGTGCATTTGTGCGTCCAGGCTTCACGCCGGCTGCTATGTGGCGGATCTCAAGGGAAATCTCGATGAGCAGGGATGAGAGCAAGCCGAGGAGAGTTCTGTCGGACGATCTGTTCTGACAGCTGTTGCCAAAAGGCGAGATTACCGTGGTGTGTTTCTGCTCCGACGAGTCTCGCAGATACGTGCAGTCGTGTGGCAAGCAGACGCAAAACCACTTCAGCTGTTTGGCTGGTACCTGCAGCTGTTTGCATTCGTTTATGCCATGGCCGAGTCAGGCATGTCGCGAATTCCGGCATGAGGTTGTTAGATTTGGCAGCTCAAGGGGTTTTTGGATCTCGGAGGTGCAGAGAGCTGCTGGGAGCGGTTTCTGTCTGCGCGCCGGAAACCAGGCTTTAAGGGAAATGCGATGTGTGCACATTCCCATCTGCTGTTCTACAGGTGATCTGGCGCTGCTGGGTGATCTGAGCGAGAATCCCAGCGGACCGCTTGTGCCAGACGTGCAGCATCGCGTGTTTCTTCTGTTGTCCGCAGGACTCCCGAGACGCAGAGTGTCCCAGTTCTCCTCTGAGATGTGTCCGCCTGGCACAATTTCTGAGAAGTTCTGTCAACCTGGCTTGTGGATATCTTTGCACAGGTGGCCACTCTGTACGGGAAGTGCTCTCGTTAAGTCCGCCTCCGACAGCGCGGTCGGATGAAAGGCCACGAGCAACCAATAAGCCCTGACGTCCTGGTGCAGTGATACGATTCCAAAGACGACGCTGTTCAAAGTTCGAACTGCCTGACTGGTCTGCTCAAGTGATGTCGGCCGTCAACCTCATCCTCTTCACGAGCTTCCAGCCTATATACACACCAGCACCGCCGCGTGGTGCAACACGTCGCGAGAGCTAGTACAGTAAACGACTGGGTGGAAAGGCAGTCTGGGGAATGTACAGCCCACAAGGTCATGTTATACATCGTCGAAGTGCCCGATTGGCTAAGACGCACCCGAGTAAATAAATGATTCGAAATGGGAAATGCATCCATCAGAATAATGCAATGCACCCCCACAATCAAAACGATGTTAATGGTGCACCCCCGCTGCGGAAAGTAATGAAATGGAAATCATTTTGCGCCACAAGGACAATCCCCCTCCGAAAATGATGAAATCGAAATTCCGATTGGCGCTTTATGGCCAGGCCTTGACTATTTCAGTCCGAACAAAACCCTCCCCTCTCTCACCGTCCCTCCCTCCCCTCTTTTCTACCCTCTTTTCTGCACTCTTTTGTCCCCTCTTTTCTACCCTCCCTCCCCTCCCTCCGCTTCCTCCCTCCTCTTTGGTATGACAGACGCGGACGTGCACAGCCGCTGCCGAAACTGGACTTAAGCGCTTGCGACGGCTCCTGGCACTGTTCTTGGGTGTGGCTGGTGCTGCCACGTTCTCTTTCTCTGTTGGAGGTGCCATGGCATAAAACATCTTGAGTATGTGTTCTACAGTAACATTAAGTAAGCTGTTGAAGCCTGAAGCGGCACGCAATTGAAACTCCTCTTGCGCTGAGAATGCCTGCTATACTAATTGAGACCCGTGTTGGAAGGAAGCATCCCTACACCGATTTCATGCTCCCGTCGCCAAAGTATATCGATGTGCCAGGTTCGAGCATTTTCCAATCGTGTTTCACGTTTTCTGGTGGGCGCTTCGAAATCATACAGTAAAGACGTTTACACCCGGATCATCATGTACCCTCACCCATGGTTCCCACTTCCTAGTATTCCTTTCCGCCCGGAGCAGCAAACACTCCGGAATCGACAACATCAAGCCCGGAAAGATTTCGAAACTGGCTTGGGCCCGAAAGGAGGCATTTCGAGTTGCCAGGTGCCAGAAGACAAGTTTTTTCAGTGGTGTTGCAGCCCCAACCGCCAATCTTGCGGGAGGCGTGCCGCGAGCCTCTCCCCTCTTCTGGGTTTTGGAGAACGTTCGTTGTCTCCACGACTGCGAAGAGGCGGGGTCTTTAGGCATGAGCATAGCGCTAATTGGAGGCGAGCTTGTCAAGGAGAAACGGGAAGTGATAGTCAGCTCGTGGCTGATGATGCTGGCATGCCGCGGCGTCGATTATCTGACGCCTGTTCAAGCATCCATTCAGCATGTCCAGCAGGTTTGTGTCGTGAAACACTGATATGGGTGTAGTTCATGACGGCTGACGATGTCTGTGTTGAGGAGTTTTCAGCCAGAATGCAGAGTGGCAGTGCTGTGGCTTAGCTTCACACACAGTCGTTTCTCGTCCTTCTGCAGAGTGGAGATGGTGTCTCTTTGCAGCTGGCAGTGTTGTGTGCTTCCATCGTCATCATGTGCTGCTTGCAATTGGTCATTTTGGAATGAAGTTGTTGATGCTTTGTGACAAGGTACGCGACACGCTTTCCCACAGCCCTGCACGGAAGTTCCTCAGAGGATGCAAAGGCCTTGAAACTCAGTGTCTCTAAGAAGGGTTGCACGAAGTCTTGGTGGACATTTGTCTGGTTTCATGTTTTGATAATGAAGTCGATGCCGTCCAAAGCCCTCAAGTTTTTTACAACTCGAGCCTTCTGTTGCAATTACAGTTTTTGGTTTGTGTTTTCCTACTTGTACTTTCGTGAAGGAGAGAAGAGATTCAAGCACAGCCCTGCTTCGGCATCTGCACGGGAATCCGTACTGAGCGGCTACGGGGAACGCCAGGCCGGCACAAAAGGGAGCCACTGCGCGGCTGAGAAAATCTGAGCCTGAGCCGTTGCCAGGAATCTGCGCGGCGACTCCTGCAGGTGCTCGGCGCATGCACGAAGTCACGAAGTGCTTGCTTTTGGCGGCGCAGCACAGAGCATAGTGAGCATGGGGGGTTTTCGCCGTTTGGTGTGGCCTTTGAGGTGAGAGGGGAAAGCAAGGACTTTGGAGACAGAGGGAGATCCTCGAGCGGAATTCCCTGGCGCCAGCTTCCTCTCTATGACTGTCACGGTTTCTTTGACGAGCATGAAGGAAACTTGTTGTCTTCAATTCACAGACGTACGGCAGCACGTGCTGCATGACTGCTGCAAAAGGTTTTCCACGAGTGGGTTTCTGAAAGATCGGTTTACTCCGGAAGACAACAAACGATATGGACGCCGGACGGCCGGTGCTCGGGCACGGGCTCCTACACTTCAGAATCCTCGTGCCTACCTTAAACTGTGGCGACGAGGAACAGGCAGTTCTGCGAGAGTGACGGAAAGGAGGGAATGCCTCAATGCTTGTTGTCGCCAGCCTTTTGTGGTTTGAAGCCTCCAATTCTTGCACTTCGCTCCGGTTTTGCCTGAATATTATACTGTAGGCAGTGTAGGCTTTCATCACCTTCATGTTTTTGCCAGCATGACCTAGCAATCGCACTGTGCAAGAGAGCTGAGAATCTAAGGCTTGCTGCTTCAAACCGGGATTTCCATCAAACCAGATCTAGCACATCGAGCACCTTCTGTTTTTTCCGAACGTTTACACAGCAGCGATGCTGTAAAGGACGTTGCGCATCGAGCTCCAATCGGTCTAATTAAAATACTTGCCTGTATGACATGTCTCTTGTCAGTTTCCTTTCAGGATTTGCTTTCTGGAGAGCGTTTTCCAGGCCGCGTGAGCATGCAGAACTGGCAGCGAGAGGAATCTACCAGTAGCACCTTTGTGGCATTTCTTCCCAGACAGGCGCCTTGTTAAAGTGGCCGGTTGCACCCCTGACGGCCTCAAGGACAATCACTGCACCGCGGAGACATTGCCCCAGCACTGACAGCAGCAGCCAGGGCAAGTGGCCATGCAATGGAGACCGAAAGGCACCAGTCACAGAAGGAGTGATTCGGGCCTGTGCCCTTCCCGTGCCTGCAGGTCTCGTTGCCTCGCCAAGTTTGACCGGCAAGCTTGCTGAATGTTCGCCTATGTTTGCATAAGAGGGTTGGGACAAACGTCTGACATTTGAAAAGACGCTGGATTCAGCGCTCATCTAGGCCTTAGGCGGCTGTGGAGGAAATTGAGGCAGCCAAGGCGACCGTACTGCGTTGCTCGTGAATGGGTTGCTTAACAGGGTCAGACACTGAACCTCGAACCATTATTGCCCAGTTGGTGAATGTGTGCTTGCTTGGAAGCTCAGGCTTTGTGCGCAAACTCCACGTGCTGGGCGAGCTGGGCCTCGACCGGAAAATGCGATGGCCATTCAAATTAACCAGGATTCCAGACATTTGCACGGATCCTTGTCAAGTCGTACCGTAGTGATGGGGTGATGTGTTGTTCTTGCACCTGTCAGTTAAGAATGTGCTACTGTGCTGCTGAGGAACGAACAGAAGCGGACCGGAGCATTTTGGCTGTCATAGGGCGAGCGAGAACCAAGGAAGTGTCGAGTGAGCATGTGCACGTCCTTCCAGGCAGACTTCTCGCATACAAGCTCCATCAGCATCGCCACGTTCGATACCATCACCCGCAGTCCAGGCAGAGTCTTGGATGGCTCAAGCATTTGTGTAATGACAACGCACATGCAAGGTTTTTGTGGGAACACAGCCAGGAAGTGTTCCGAACTGTCGCATCGGAGGATCCCGAGCCGCTCCGGTGTACACAGCCTCAGAGTCGGTCGCGTCGCACATATTCTTTCGAAGCGGATATGGCGATTTGGCCGAGATGGGAGGAATTTACAAGATGTGAGTGAATCTTCAACTTCAGGCAGCTGGCAGATGGTGGGAACAGCATGCCCCCAAGCCCTTGCAAAGGCAAAGATCTCATCGGCGGCTGGGCGCCTTGCGTCGGCAGCCAGTGCATCAACAGCAACTCCGAGGCCGCGATACGTTTGGAAAGCATGCGACTCGACATGTTCGAACCTGTACAGAAGACGGGGGGCATTTACTGAAAATTGGAGGTGACTGGACAGGAATAGGCACAGGTTTTTTTGATAAAGACTTGTATGTACACAGATAATCACAGCGAGCCAGATGTATTTAGAGTGACATGAGGCAGGCAAGATGAAGATGCAGTGGGAACTACCCAGCGGCATACAAAAACAACTCCTCGATTGTCTTGTGGCTTGTTTCAAGCCACACTGGGGATAGGCGGGTCACTTGTGACTTCTGTCAGGTGTCACCTGTGACTTCTCGAGAAGCGAGTCGCTTGTGACTGCTGTCGGGTGTCACCTGTGACTTCTCTAGCCAGCGAGTTTGCAACACCTCTCAGCAAAAATGCATGAAATCACTTGTGACTTCTCTGGCTTCGGATCGGGTTTCAACCTTGCATCTTCGACTTTCTCGCAAGGGTTCGCGGCTTCAGGTTAGGGTTCAGGGTTTACGGTCATGGAGTTGGGGTCTCGCCTCGGGGTTCAGGGTTTAGGGTTCACGGTTTAGGGTTTACGGTTTCAAGGCTTAGGTTTAGGGCAGTGGGCAAGAGTTTTGAAGGACAAAATGTATGAATATTTTCCCTCGAAACTCCGGGTCCTGAGGGTGAAGCATCAGGGTTTGGGGTAGTTCAGGGTGCTTTACGGCTTCGGGTGTTCAGGGTTGATTCGCCCGTGTAGGTTTAGGCTTGGGGCTTACGGTTTGGGGTTTGGGGTTTCAGAGCTCGCGGTTTAGGGCTAGGGTTTAGGGTTTACGGTTTAGGGTTTGGGGTGCAGGGGTTGAGGGTTTGGGGTTCAGCATGTAGGGTTTAAGGTTACGGGTGTAGCATTGGTCAGCTGAACGCAGCAGTATGCAGACATGCCCACCCCAAGACCACCCAAACACTACTCACTGCGAACCAAACCGAAGCCAGCCAAACCAAGCCAGCCTCATTATTCAAGCTTCAGCACTCTGCATCGAGCCCTGTCATGGATTTGTTGACCTTTGGCCTCGAATCCTTGTCCAAGCTGAAATTTAGGGTTTGCGCTGGGGTACATTCTGGGCCGAAGGGCCTTGTCATTGATACTTCGATCGGTGGAGAGGCTCCCGGTCCCCTTAGAAATATGTTCAAGCATTCGACGGTTTGGAGGCCCCAATGCTTGTCCAAGTAAAATTTGAGGTTTGCGCTGGGGGACATTCTGGGCCGAAGGGGGCAGCACCGTCACTTGCGTAAAGAAATTCGCGTCACTTGCGTAAAGAATTGCCGCGTCACTTGTAAAAGAAAGGTGTCGAATCCATTGTAAAAACCATAGGAAAGTTCACTTGCCGAGTTGGCAGAAATGGCCGGAAAGTGCGAAGCAAAGTGTCGAATCCATTGTAAAAACCATAGGAAAGTGCACTTGCCAAGTTGGCGGAAATGGACGCAAAGTGCGAAGAAAGGTGTCGAATCCATTGTAAAAGCCATAGGAAAGTGCACTTGCCAAGTTGGTGGAAATGGCAGAAAAGTGCGTTTTCGGCTGTTTTCGGAAACATTTCAGAACCATTGAAAATACACTTTTGGAGGCTCGAAAAGCATGTTTCCGTTGGTCCCCAGAAAAGGGTTTTCAGAGCACGCTTGAGCGGTTCCGCCGCGGTGGGTGGGGTGGGGGGGTTGGGGGGAGGCTAATAACTTATAACGTTCGACGCGTGCAGCAAGAGCTTTCTCAACGGAAGCCGATGCTCAGCAGAAGCCGTGAAAGGGGGGGTGGGGGGGTTGGGGGGGAGGCTAATAACGTCCCTGTTCGACGCGTGCAGCAAGAGCACTCTCAATGGAACCATTGAAAACGCACTTTTGGAGGGTCGAAAAGCACGTTTTCGTTGGTTTCGAGGGGGTGCGTTTTCAGAGCACGTTTGAGCGGTTCGCCCTGGGGGGGGTGGGCTGGGGGGGGGGGGGGGGGGGTTGGGGGGGAGGCTAATAACGTCCGTGTTCGATGCGTGCAGCAAGAGCAAGTCCAGTCTTTTAGACCGCAAATAGGCAGGTGGCTTTTGCTTGCATGGTCTAGCAGATTGCATGTTGTTTCAAACCAGCGAAAATGCGTTTTTGGAGGCTCGAAAAGCACGTTTCTGAGGGTTTTGAAGAATAGACCTAGAACAGAACCCTCGAGGTGGGGGGGGTGGGGGGGTGCGTGGGGGGCTCAACAACGTCCAGGCCCGACGAGTTTCCTGCCAAGGAGGCTCTGGGAGACATTCTCAACAGAAGCCGTGCAGGGGGGTGGGGTGGGGGGGGTGGGGTGGGGGTGTTGGGGGGGAGGCTGATAACGTCCGTGTTCCACGCGTGCAGCAAGAGCAAGTCCAGTCCTTTAGACTGCAAATAGGCAGGCGGCACCCTTTCGGTGATTTTGAACAACACAACAGCAAGGAAACCTCGGGCAACATGATGCGAGTGATGCGTCGACAGGTCAATGACATGTCGTCCTTCTGAAAGGGCCACCCACGACAAGATGTTTCGGTGCCTGCGCGCTACGACCAAAACGACGACCCTGCCGACGTTTGCGAAACCATGGGTTGCCTAGCTAGACGCACTTGTTGAATAGACGCGCAAAACACCGATGCGCAGAAGCCAAATCCTCTGGCCCCACCAATACTTTCAGAACTTCGCAACAAAAAGCGATTTCGAGCGTGTTTGCCTTGGGGGAAGTTCCGGGCCGAAAGGGACCTGTCATGGATTTGTCGACCTTTGGCCTCGAATCCCTGTCCAAGCTGAAATTCAGGGTTTGCGCTGGGGTACATTCTGGGCCGAAGGGCCTTGTCATTGATACTTCGATCGGTGGAGAGGCTCCCGGCCCCCTTAGAAATATGTTCAAGCATTCGACGGTTTGGAGGCCCCAATGCTTGTCCATGTAAAATTTGAGTTTTGCGCTGGGGGACATTCTGGGCCGAAGGGCCCTGTTATTGATATTTCGATCTTTCATATGGCTCCCGGTCCACTTGGAAATATGCTCAAGCGTTCGAGTTTTTGGAGGCTTCAATGCTTGTCCAAACAAAATTTGAGGTTTGCGTTGGGGGAAGTTCTGGGCCGCAGGGCCCTGTCATGGATTTGTCGACCTTTGGCCTCGACGTCCTGTCCAAGCCAAATTGAGAACTTGCTCAAAGGGGGGGCGGCATCCCTTGTCCATTTAAACGCCGCCTCAAGTCGTGAAGGGTTGGGGGGGGGCATCCCTTGTCCATTTGGAAGCCGCCTCAAGTCGTGAAGGGTTGGGGGGGGCATCCTTGTCCATTTGGGGGCCGCCCCCAGTCGTGCAGGGTTGGGCGGGGGCATCCTTTGTCCATTTGGAGGCCTCCTCAAGTCGTGAAGGGTTGGGGGGGGCATCCTTGTCCATTTGCGCCTCGTGTGAGAGCAAAATCCGTCAGGTTTAGGGTAATAAAATTTACGTCGCTTGTCTCGCGACCCCTCAGGGGTGCGCCCTGCAGACTCTGCAGGCTATGCAGAGTTATGGCATAATATGGTGTCGAGAGGTGTGGCTGACAGTTCGGAATTTGTGCACGGTGCTTAACTCTAAAACTCCCTCATGCACGACATGGGCTCGCTGCCGCTCGACGGCGCCCGCCTACCCCAACAGAAGTGAGAGGGGTGGCGGGGGGGTTTAAGGGTTTAGGGATTAGGGTTAAGGGTTTAAGGCTCGGGTTCAGTGATTAGGGTTTGGGATTTAGGGTTTAGGGTTGAGGGTTTAGGGTCTAGGGTTCAGGAGGCTTGAGGGTTGAGGGTTTAGGGTTCTGGATGGGATCGAGGGTTCAGGGTTGAGGGTTCAGGGTTCAGGGTGCGCACCATGAAAGAGGATGGAGGGGAGGAGGTGGAAGAGGGAGGAGAAGGGGAGAAGAGCGAGGGAGGGTCGCCGAGGTAACCAAGGATCCAAATCTGACGACACTGCCTGCAGCATTTTGTAGGGGCAGAGACTGAGAAGTCACAAGCGACACCGGCACAGAAGTCACAAGTGACACCCGATAGAAGTCACAAGCGACCCCTCTACCACAATGGGTGGCAGTGGGAATTGAGGGGCAGAAATTAGCCGGCGCTTCTCTGGCCTGGAGTGTGCACAGGATTTCTGTTCTCAGGCGCGCGCGGTGCCTCGGCTTCATTCCACGCCAGAGGGAGAAGGTGCGGACGGAGCCGGAGGCCAGCCCGTAATTGTCCGGGTGCGTGCGCAGCCCGAATCCGTGGAGGTCTTGTGCGACACGAGCCGAGCATCACCGGCGCATGTGAATCAGAATTCTCAGGCGCCTCACTTGCTCATGGTGTCGTAGGGTGCAATAAACTCATGTGGGTGGAATCGCTTGAAAAGCGACAGGACATCACCTCCGCTCCTGCGACCGAAAGGGTGACAGTGCACGAGTCCTTCAAACCTTTCGATGACAAGGCCACGGGTGTGATTGCGAGAGATCTCTTTTTGGCTTTGCCAAACGATCGGTATGCAAGGTTGGCAAGGTTGTTGAGTTCATCGACAAGATCATTGGCCATGACCGAGGAGATAAACCCCTCTGGAGAGTTCAACTTTAGTCTTGCGATGTTCCGGAAGGACAGCCGCTGTCACAGCCAGAGTCTGAAGGGCACCTGACACCAACACCGGAGAAGAAGCAGGCAGGTCCGCCAACCGTGACCGGTAATCTCAGCGGCTTCGTTTCCGCACACCAGCGCTCGTACACTGTAAACCAGGCACGAACACATCTCAAGACTTGGTCGTGTTGGAGAAATACTGTGGCTTACCAACATGAAATGAATCCTTGCAGTCGTTTTGTCAAGTTGCTTGCCTGGCGCACAGAAAAGGCAATGAAGGAGTTGCACGACCAATCGCAGGATCCGAAGATCTCATTTCAGAAGACAGCTCCGCTTTGCGCGTTCGACAAGCTTGCAAACACACTGCAAGGAGATGGGTGTGGCATCGCTCCTTCTTTCGGTTTTATTTGCCGTTTCAAGTCGTGACAACTGGTCAGGATTCTTCTTCACCTCGCCAGCAATCGAAGCGAGACAAGGCCACATTGGGAGCACGTGCAATTCCGAGAACCGGATCTACGACCGCATAACCAGCTCATCCATTGAAATCGAAGCTGTGCTGAAGAACAGGATTCCATGTTTCGCTAGGCTTGCTGTTGCCAGCTCCGCGATTTAGGGTTTAGGGCTGGTACGGTTGGTACTTCCTAGTGTACCTGGAGGCTCAGGCTCAGGCTCGCCCCGAGCCAGAGCCGGAAGTGGACATCGGCTCACACGCCAAAGATGCAGCTGGAGAAGCAGATAGTGCTGAACAATACCAGGTCTGATGTAGGGAGCAGGGAACAGGTTTCCGGAGGCTTCATTGAACTTTGATGGGCACTTTCTTTGCCATTTGCCAGCCCAGGTCACGCTGTATCCGCGACTCCTTACGTCAGCCCTCGAAGCTGAGAAGGCCGAATTCAACAATCGCACGCGACGTCTTCTTTGCCTGCTGTTTGTCGCTCTGGTTTGCCAGCCTTTCCCAGCCAATTCTGCGACTTCCAGCAGAACCGCGCAGCCGATTAGCTGACTGCGCATGCATTTGCGCCGTGACATGAGTCATGGATCAAACTCGTCATGTCAGCTTGGGCATGCTTGCAAACTGGTGACTGGACGGATGCTCAGGCCTCCATCACCGCGACAGCTCTGCGCCAGAAAGACCAGACGGTGCAGAAGGAAAAAGATATCGTGCCAGACAAGGCCAGCCACAAGTCCACAAGGCTCACTCTAAGTGTGTCAGCTGGAACGGTATAGTTGCGAGGCACGCAGCGGCAAGAAGGCATGGAGCCAAGTGCGAAGAAAGCAAGCTACTTGAATATATTGGGACGACATATTCTCTCTCGATGTGTTTTGCATAAGAGAGGCCGCTGCAAGTCACGACAGGATATGGGGACATTTGCAGACTGCTCAGGCGAAGTTCACTGCGCTGATGCAGCCGGACCTTGGCAAGCTGAGGGATAGGCGGAAGGCGGCGGAAGGGTCACCAGCAAGACAGGTGTTGTAGCCGAGACCTCGTTTAGATGGCCACTGCTCCAAATGAGAAGGTGGCAATTTGAACTGATGCGGCGGCATGCGGCGGACATACTTCTCTTGTCCTTTCCAATGTTGAAAACATCTTCGTCTGGGCCGCACGTCTCCGCCTATGCATAGTTTTTTAAAATCATTTGAGATTTCTACCATCCCTCCGACACAGACCTGGAATGTTTTACTGGCATGCGCCGATGCCGTGTCCTAAGCGGGATCAGGTGGAAATGCAAGAATCTGGAAGCTGGCAGTGGAGTCCACAAGACAGACTCTCCCGCCGGTCTTAACTCAGAAGGCATGCATCTTTGTTTCCAGGTTTCCCCATCGGCTCAGGTTGGTGATGGTGATAATGGCTATGGCAATGATGGCGATGACACTGGTGAATCTGAGTATGCTATGATTTAAGCCAACGCTGTTGTCAGATTACGAAAGACATCTAACCCGCCAAGGTTGTGGGTCATGCCGTGGCTGCAAAAGCAGATGTCGTCTTTCGAAGCCATGGCACCAAAAGCTGCCCGCGAGCTTTGGGTCCCATTGATCGAAGAGTGAATGTCGACGCCACGAATTCCCAAATTGAATTTGTAAATGAACTAAAAAACTATTCTTTTTGAGACCCTCAATGTGCAACCTCGCATGAAGGTAGACATGCGCAGGCTTCGCTCATGGTTTCCTACCTCATACATCTCATGGCTTTAACTTCTGCTGTCCTTTTAAGCAGTGGCTTTCTGCATTTTCATGTCATGCTCACGGTTCCAACACGCCAGCCAATGGGGGAATGCTTGCTTGGCGATTTGGCTCAGCGATACTTACTCATTGCTGCTTGTGAAGGTGCAAGCCAACAGGATGCACAAACCTTTCAGGGCCGAGATTTCGATAACGTTTTGTTCCTCCAAGCAAACCAGGAATGTGATGTGTGCACAGTTGGTGGGCGCCCACTAGTCCAGGCAACACCTAGGCGGGGTGATTTTCACCATTGTCTTCTTTGTTGCCCTGGTCCGAAATCTGCCCGTTCTTCTTCAAACTACCAGAAGAAAGCGAGGGCAAGTAGACAAAGAAACTGACAAGGAAAAGCAGACAAACACCTCCGACAGATAACATGAGAACCACGGGAGAGAGATAGAGAGAGCCAACTGTCCGCCGAAACCATTTGCAACAGAGAATGAGAAAATCTACACACACAACACGAGACAAAGAAGTATTCTGATACACACGGATTGAAAACGAAAGTGAACAGTAACGCGAGCAAACGAAACGATTTACAGCGGACTGAATGGGGAACAGCATGGGAAGGGCAAGGACAATCACGGATCATTTTGCAGATTGGGAGAAGTAGAATTTCACTGCTGAGATGTGTTTGATTATTGGTGACCGGAAGATAGATGTCTTTGATGCAAGCTACGACCAATGAATAGTTTCGACTAGTTAGCTGAGGTTCGACTTGACTTCACTCCGGGATGATACAATGGTTTCACGGCTGTCCCGTCTTCGCGCAGAGCAAAAGTAAGAAAGGGAGACACGAACACGATGGGAGTGGCGAAGGGGACGAGACGTGGTGAGGCTGGACCCAGAGTGGAGAAGGCAGAATGCAGAAGGGAAACGGTGGAGATTGGTGGAGATAGTTGAAGGATGTGGCAAGAATGTCAGACATGGTGTTCTGCGCGGTGCTCCGGCTCAGCTGGAACCACTTGGTGCCTTCTTGGTGCCTGCTGCGTCTCCAGTGAGGCTGCGCACGTTGTGGAGCTGTCTGTGCGAGTTGGGTTGCGCCACTTGCGCCCCCTAGGCCATGTCGTACATCCCAGCAGGGCGACCAGAGGGTGGGTGGCATGGCACAAAGTTGGCTTTGAAACCATTGAAGTGTAACGACTCCAGCCGTTAACAGCTTGTGCTGACATGGCAGGCTGCGCGACATTTGGGTTTCGGGCAAGGCATGAACACGCAGCATGCTCTTCACACTTGGGCCCAAGCGCATGGATCTTCAAGTAGTCGACAGGTTGGCGATTCACGTGCCAGATGTTTGGCGACATCATTGCATCAGAAAGGACACGAGGTTGGACTATTGGCTGGGCTTGTCCAGTGCTCCACGCGAATTTCGTCCAATCATCCCGCCAAGCATTCCTCCAAGAGACAACCCTGCACCCACTGTGTATTTGGTCCGTTGGTTGCACCAGAAATGCTTGTGAAAGAGTCAGTTGCAGTGCCCGAGGGATCGGAGTGTCTGACGCTAGGTGACCCTCATCGGCGTCAAGAAGTCCAGCGAGGCTCCGATTGCCTCCTGGGGAGAGGCGGCGGTGCAGTGATGTCCAGCCGTGAAACTGTGCATCTTGTGCCCTTTCTGGTTGGCGAGCTGCGACAGGTCATTACAGAGCAGCCGAGAAAGAGCATCCGGATGCAGGCCACGGAGAGCGGACAGAGCCCCCCTGTGAAGGATGCCGGTTGTGAATCTGGTAGTGCAGCATCTTTGCGATCCTGTGCCCGGGTGCAAGACCCGGCGTGGGAATTCGCTCCCGCTTCGTGGGGGAGAAGGACATGCTTGCGGGGGAGATCGTGCTAATCTATATTCTTTATGACGTCCTATTGGCAGATAGCGATGTCCGCGCTTTGCATAACGGCAGGGAAGCGAGAGCGCCAAGAAAGCGCGCAGTGACGTGGCAAAGAAGTAGAAGACGTGGCAAAGAAGTAGAAGAATAAACAAGAAACATCCATAAGGTTCTATGCTCAGCCTTTCAAGGTTTCAGCATCGGTCATTCCTTAGGAGCAGGAAGCAAGGTTGTTTCACGGTATGGCTGTACAGACAAGGTCACTCCAGCATGCGCAGGCATATTCCGAATTACATAGGTGCAAAAAGGCAGCCCGTTCCCGTTCGACTCCAACTGGTGGCTGCGTGGAGCCCCCGATAGTTTCGACCGAACAGATCCGAAGTTTCGGCCTTCCGGCTCTCAGCATTAGATCCCACGACATTTGAGCCTCAACTGAGCTGACTAATGCAATCGCCACCCTTGTGAACACCGCAAGCCATGATGTTTCATTGAACGAGCAGGACAAAGCGGTTTTCGCAGATCTAGTACTTCTTCGCAACTGATCCGCGATGCTCAAAATTGCTTGAAACAAGCTTTGGCGAGTGTGCTTAGCCCGGCTGTGTCACGTTTTTGCGCGGCTGCCCACTCTGATTGTTGCAAGTGGCTCATGCAGGCTGTGTCTTGACCACATGCGATTGGGTATGAGATCATGCCCACCTTGTCGTGTTCAGAGGAGGGACTGTTAAGCCCTCAGGAAGAGACTTCGTTCGTGCCGAGGCAGTTGCGAGCCCAACATGGGTTGGATAATCGCCACCAGGCTCGGCCTTGCAGCGATCAAGCTACGCAATTTCTAAACGAGACATGCGCTGACACAGGAATCTGGCAAAGGGCGCGCGGTCCAAGGGCAAGCGAGTTTGCCTGCATCGCTTGCATGCGGGACATTGAGGGCATGCACTCATGTTGGATCGCGTGAACTCTTGTGGACAGGATGAAATGGAATAAATCGAGTTAAAAGAAAGATCGGGTGCTTAGTTTAGGGCCTAGGGCTTTTGGCTTGGAGTTGGGGTCCCGCAGGCCTGCTTTGCAGGGAGATGGTGGGGCGGTCCGCTGCAGAACGCCTTGGACACAACACAACTAGAAGAGCTCAAGAACTTGACATAAGCTCCAGCGGGAGCTCGAAACTTGCGGAATGAAAGAAATGAAGGAAGGGAGAATGCAGGATGTCGATTGTTGGTGAGTGGGCTGAAACATGCATGGACCTCCATACAACTACCCAACATTGGTTCTTTGCTTTTGTTTCCGCCGGTGCTTGCACCTCGTACATCTGAAAACCTTTAGAAGTAGAAGGGCATCGCCGTGCTGTACTCTGCCATCACTACAAAGCAGGTTGTCAGTATCAATCTCGGGCAAGTCAGTTACTGTCTCTTGAAGGTGTGTCACATGTGAGACTACGTGTGTTAAAACCCTATGAGCCGGTGACCCTGCCAGGTCTACCACAAAGTCTTCGGACCCTCCCACAAGCAATGGAAAATGATGAAGGACGCTTGACGTGCACCTCGAGCATGGCCGATCAGCTGCTGTTGTGGCACGGTTGATTTGCAAATGGCTCACGGGGGATATGGCTGTTGTTGTCTGTCTGGCAGTTGCTAAGGACATGCTGAACATCTTGGTTCGGGAGCGCAGATGTTCGTGGCAGCAAGCATTCAGAAATACCATGATCTCATGTCAGCGTAGTGTGAGGACCAGAAGATGGAAACATCACTGGCCCGAGCCAAGGAGCTGCAGCAATATGCAGAGGAGACCCAGACAACGCATTGACCAACTCTCTCAATTCGAACAGCACCGAGTGCATGGAGCTAATGTTGGCCGTTTCCTGATCTACACAAGCTGTTGTGTCCCTCTTACCGTGCAATCTGTTTCTGGGAGTTTTATCCCAGTTGAAAGAAGAGAACAGCCTTGTCTCGATAGCCAAGGCTTGCTAAGGCCGTGGGGATAAAACTTGTCAGCAGGGCCTCATGCTCGCTAATTCCACACACATATAACTCATATAACCGGCTTCCTGTTGGGTTGCATCTCCGGAGTCCACAATGTGCCAGCAGGAAATAGTCTTCCTTGCCAAGAAAAACTCTCCGTATCATGATGGACTCGCTCAGTCCTCAGTGGAGCGCTCATGTGTCGTGTTCAGCGAAGTGGCCCAGCGGGTGGAGATTCAAAAGGCTTCCCAGTCGTGGCAACGCAGGAATTCAGGAATGCTATAGTAAATTTAAGGCTACGCCGCCCGCCTCGGCTCTGGAGCAGCAGGGTCGCGGTCATCCTTGAAGGGGTAGGGAGAACGGACCGAAAAACACCAAGGAAAGGGGGGGCCGGGGGGCAAGGGGTGAAGAAGTGAGTAAAATGAAGGGGGCCGTGGGTGGGTGGGAAACGAGCGCAGAAAAAATTAGGTGGAGGGTATCTGAGCCAACCCCCAAGACACCTGGCATAGTCCGTGTGGTTGCGGGCACGGGAGGACACAGGTTTGCACCCTGGGCCTCGGGGCAGGTCGGAGTCCTTGTCGTGCTGAGACGCATTCCTCTGCTCAAGACGGGTGTCTGCTCAGGTGGAAAGTATGCTGACCTCTCCCGAGGCTCCTGGAGTGTGCATGAGCAAATCGACACAAAGCCTGATTCGATTGAGATCCCGACAGATCTCGAGAAGACTTGCTTACTGCATGAGGCCAGAAGGATACTCTATGAGCGGATGCTTCCGCGCTACCAGGCACAAGCAAGACGACATGAGTCGGCATCAGTTTCGTGCTCATTTCCAGCACCATCGCTGGCGAACCTGAGCTGGCTCATGCCACCGTCATGTGTGCCTGATTGTGTTGTATTGTGCACCAAATTGTGCCAGGATCGACACTTCCACTTTTCTCGAGTGCTGAACCAGTGGAGGCTCGAGATTTGTCATTGAGGAACGTGTCATTAGATCGACAAGCTAGGAAATTTATCGGTTGGTTCAATGCAAGTTTGATGCAGACTTGGCGGTCTTCTCGACGAAGCCGTCCGTCTTGTACACTGACAGGTACAGAGAGCGCGACACGACACCGATGGCTATCATCGAGTGCCCACCAACAAATAGATGTCATCAAGCCTTACACTGCCCTACACCACCTCCGCGAATTCGGGAGCCACCTCTGCCTGACTTCAAGTTTTTGCATGCGCAGAAGACCAATGGGGACCCATGCTTTGGTTTGTCTCAGAGCTCCGAAGAAGCGCGGCTCTGAAGCGCGGCTCAGCGCGCTCGTTTCCGCGAGGTACGTGGACCGACCTGGCGAGCTGCGTCCCGCGAATCCCGTCGGGGCGGCCGGACACTCGAAGCGAAGCCGGCAGTCAGTGGAACCAAACTGTGCCCCCTGCACGCAGCCACGCAGCCATCTGCGTAGCAAACTTCCTGGCGGGACTACCCAGGCAAGAAAGCAGCACGTGGCGATGGAGCCCGCGACTTTGCTTTTCTGTCCTAACTTCTGAGCAGTCGTCGGCTCAGAAACATCGAGAAGTGATGCGAAGGACTGACAACTCGAAGCATGCTGACTTCGATAGTTAGGACTCGCCGCACTACATAGGTGTGCTTACAAACTCCTAGCCTAGGTTCTTGCAGACTCGAAGAGGTAGGCGCAAGCACCTGGGCGAGATGCAGAGGACACTTCTGTCCAGTGAAGAAGTTGTTGCTGCTGCAGCTGATCGATCTTGCTCTCCGCGGTGCTTGTAGGATGCTGCAGAACAAGCACTCGCCTCCACTTGATGCCGCCTGGCATATTTTATCATCTTTCCTCTAGCACAGGGCGGTGCGGACAAGGTAGGAGGTCGGATTTTTGCCTGTACTTGGGTTGACAGGGTTGAAGCAGGATAAACTTCCGAGGGCTTGGGCTTGCAATTTTCAACCTCTTTCTGAGCACGCCGGACTCGTGGGAGTCTGTTGAAAAAGTGGAGTTTGCGATGATCCGAATATGGTGCTTCTAGCTCGTGCAAGTGCAATCATGAGTCTGTTCCGCTCCCATGCTGCGAGCTGAAATTCCAATCCCTTGCGCCCCGAAACCCGGAACACCCAACTGTTGGGTTGGACCAGCCTGCATCACGAGCATCTGTGGCCCCGGATGCCAACATTGCCATGCACACGCAGCTAGTTAGGAAATTCAGCATCCTGCCTTCCAGCAAGAGCACGGTGGACCCGGATGGCGCGATTCATTGAAGGGCCAAGTGGGGCCTCATTGCGGTCCTTCAACGACAGCGAGCCTGGCTTGTTCGGAGCGCAACGGAGAAAGTGTTTGGCAGCACCAGGTGAGGTTCCTCGGGAGGAGAAGGCCAACGAGTGTGCGCTGCAAGCATTCGCAAAAAGAAACAAGCCTTCCTTTTCGGGAGGTCACGTGGCACAACCGTTCCTTTTGGCAGAACCAGCATGAATTTGGTGAGGGTCCGCGTATCCGAAAGGGCTCTAGGTCGAACAGCAGGAGCTGCAATGATGCGGAGAGAGCTGTGCGTTGTACTTGGCATCCTTGCGCCCTCCCCCAACAGATCTCGGGGCATCATTGGATTTTGCGGAGATCTCCTCCTCCCAATGCTGTAGCTGTGTGGCTGCCGTTGCAGCTGAGACGCTGCACAGCTTTTCCGAGGCAGCTGTTCTGGAGCGCTGCCGTTTCGAGTGCTCGAAGTACGAGGCCGGCACGTCACTTCGATGCTCTGCTCCCACACTAAGACACTAAGACATAGCACAGGTTTGTTTTCAAGCTGCAGCGCGGCACTTGCCAGGTGATCGATGTGGAGTGATGTGACACCCTGAACCAAGGAGCACAATCAATGTTCGCAAGAAAGCACTGGGTCCTTGCAGAGCAAGGTTGCATCGGCTCGTGGAGAGTTTCGATATAGATTTTCGTTCTCGGGGACACCTCCCCTCCCCTGCCCTGGCCGCTTTCCAAACCCATATTTTCACCTTGATCTGGTGGGTTCCCAAAAAACACGTTTCAAGCATACAAGTGGCAAGTGCTTAGCCAGCCATCAACATATCGTATGGCATGGTCGTCATGATACTATGAGCAGCAATGGTCGTGGTCGGCGACCCCGCCTTCGCGGCAGTCGCATCGCAGCCGGCGTAGGAGCGTATACCATCAGGGC